CCCCCCCCCCAGAGTCGCAGGAGAGGGGCTGCAGAGAACAGGGAAAGCAGGCCTCGCCTCTGCCGCCTGAGGTCTTCTGGCCACCAGAGGGCGCTCCAGACCCAGCACAGGCCTCTGTGGCCTCCCAACCTCCACCCTGCACCCTCCACCCTCCACGGATCCGGATCCGGCGTCCTTCCTGCAGCCTTCCTGCCTTCCTGCCTTCCTGCCTTCCTGTCTGCTTCTGCTCTGTTCCTCACCATTCTGGGAGACACTGCTTCCCAGTTCTTAGTCCCCACTGTATGTCAGGCTGGTTCTGGGGCTTTCCGATCTCACGCATCAGAGACACCACCCCTGCAGCAGACCGGACGGCCTCTCCCCTCCCGGAAGAGCTGGGACCCCGTGGCCCTGTCCTGCCCTCCCTCCAGGCTTCTGGTGGGAGCCGGGCCTGTCTGTCCACGGACCTCTCCCTCAAGACCAAGCCCGTTGGGACCTAGGGAGCCAGCCACTGGGGAGAGATTCCTGGGGCCTGACCCTGGAACAGGCTTCATCCTCACTGTGGTCGGAGGCCCTGAGTTTGGCTGGGGAAGGAGGCCAAGCACGGAGCTGAGGGGAAGGGGAGGAACGAAGAGGGCCACTGAGGCACAGGCGCTCCCTGGGACCCATCCCTGCCCCCAGGGCCCCACTATGCCCCAGCCCATCGGCTTCCTCCTCCTGCAGCGCCCCCCCCCCCATTGCTGGCTGGGACGGGAGTGCTGTGGGGAGACCCTGTGCCCAGTAGAGGATGACTGCCCAGATTGCAACAGGGCCCCCTGTCCTGTCAGCCCCTGTGGGGAGGGAGGGGGCTTGGGAGAGCCGAGGCCACCTCCCCCTCCCCCTCTGGGGCCTCAGCTCCCAGCCCCTGTGCTGAACTAGAGTCCCCAGCCAGGAAAGGGAGACTCCGCGGTGGGAGGAGACCCTCCCTGCCCTGGCCCGGTCTGGGGAGTCATTTATGCCGGCGCCTCTCCTCTGCTTCCTGTTCCTCCTTGACTGACCACAGCCAGATCTCCCGGCACGAGCACACGAACAGCTCCAGCCCAGGCTGGCCACTGCTCCCACCTCAGCGGAGAAGGGACATGCTTCCAAGGGAGGAGACGTGGGACGCCCACCCCAGGCCCCTGAGAAAGGAGGGCAGGGCGTGGGCTGCCCCACAACACACGGCCTTACAGGTCCTGCAACTCGTTCCAAGCTCCATCATCCCCACAAAGTCCCCTGTGGCCTGGAGACGGTGCTGAGCTCTGCTACAGGACCCAACACCTGGGCTCAGGGGACTCTGTCCGGGGCCGAGATTTCCTGAACCCGCTGCCTGGTTTGTCACACATTCCCTCCTCTCCCTTCCCCACCGGTGCCTGGGGCAAAGCAAGCTGGTGGGCACCCCAGAGACCGCTCCCTGATTGAAGCAAGCCGTCCCTTGTGGTTTGGGGATGGGGGGACAGGGATCACGGTCTCATCACTGCTTTCAGGGAGGGAGCTCAGAGGGCAGGAAATACAGGTGTCCCTGGAGCCCCTCTGCTGAACCAACATGGAGCCCCTCCCCCATCTTCCCTACAGCCGGCTCAGCACCATTGGTCCTCTGCACGGTGGCCCATCCATTCAGGCTGGGTCAACAGGGTGACAATGAGCAGGTCAAGGAGATGGCAGGGACAGGGGCCAAGGGGGCACCTTCCTTACCCCTTGAGGACAATGAGGCCCCTGCCCCTCAGGGACAGCCCCTCTGATCACCATCATTATCACTCTCAATGCAAGACAATCAGACGCTTGTCCACTCATGAACTCTGTCCGGCCCCAGTGCCTGAGCTCTGGGGACAATGATGGACGAGGACACTGGGGCCTCGCTCTCCTCCAGGGCCCCACTGATGGGAGAGACGGGCCGCACTGGGGTCAGCGTGGAAGACAGCAGAGCCGGGGCATTGAGGGACGGGCTTTGGGAAGTGGCCACTGTTCTGGCTTCGGGTAACTGTGTGTCTGTGACAAAGGGGTCTGCAAGATCCCCCTCTGCCCCATGCTTCTGTGTCTGTGGGGCTGGAACCCTTTGGCCACAGCGGCTCCTCTGACCTCTGGAGGACCTGGCCTGAACCACGCAGCCTGGGAAAGGCCTGAGCTGCGCCATTGGGATTCACATCACGGCGCGAGGCACCGGCTCAGGGAGGAATTAGACACGGCCTGGGTGTCCAAAGTGGGGGCCGGTGGCCGTACCGGGGCAGACGGGCTCGGCGGGCGCCCCGCCTCACCCCGATATTTCTCTCCCACCGTCAGGACCCCTACCCGCCGCCTCCCGGCTCTGCGCCCCGGCCCCTTTGTCTGGCCCTGCCGCCCGCGCCCTGCGCGTCCCGGGCCCGTGCGCCACCACCGCCGGTGGGAACAATGCGGGCCAATGTCTCCGGCAGGCGGGCGAGCCGGCTATGCAAATGCCACCGGCCTGTGAGAATTCCCCTCTGCCGCAGGCTTCCACCGCCTGAAAGGGGCCGGCAGTCACTGCATAGGGATGAGCTGGCGTCCCCAGCGCCCTGGGACAGAGCGCCATTGTCTCCACGGCACTGTCTGATCACCAGCCTTGGCCAAAACGGTCCCATCCATACCTACCCCTTGCCCCAAAGAGGCTTGACTTTGGGGTCAGACCGCGGTGGGCACCTAGCTGACCTCCCCCTCTCACTAGCTCCGCGGTCTGCAGGAGTCCGTCCCTGTCTCTGAACCCGTCTCTTGGGGGTTAAACCTGGCTGCGGTCGCTGTCCTTCCTACCCTCCCTACGTGTTAGCCAAACCCCAGTCCCCATCTGCGTCCATTTCCTCACACTGCATTGACCCAGTGGACTCTTACAGGTGTTCCTGGAGCCCGTCCCGTCCAGAGCCGTGGGGGAAGTGCTCATGGTTTCCCCAAAGCAGCTTACTGGACAGAGACTCCCCAAGGGATCCTCTCTGACCAGGGAGCCCCAGGCCTAGTGCAGGCCTCCCTTCCTGCCTCCTTCTGCTGTTGCCACAGTTAGGGGCCCCGCCTCTGCCTGGGAGAAGGGCTCACCAAGGCAGGACTAAAATAGCTTCTCCAGGGATGTAGGCATAGGGGTCCCACATAAAGTCCCCTCCCACAAGTGAAAGCGGTACGACCCTCCACCCCAGCCCAGGGGCCTGTGTCCGGCTAACAGATGGAACTGGTTGAACCCTGGACTGAAATGCTCAGTGAGGATGCCTGGCTGGCTTTGACGGTAGAGCATGTGACTCCTGATCACAGGGTCCTGCGTTTGAGCCCCATGATGGGTACAGAGTTCACTTAAAAAAAAAAATAGACAGTGGGCACGGGAGCTCTGTTAGGAGCAGAGTCCCTCCTGGCGAGGAGCCTGGAGCCCTGCTCTGGGGCGCGTGCAGTACCTGGGCTTGAGCCTGGCAAGGTGCAGGGCCTCCTGAGTTCGTCTTCCCCAAGCTTCTACGAAGATTCCTGACCAGGGGCTGATGCCGCTCAGGTGAGAAGCTGTATAGAGATGGCGTTTGGGCCCTTGAAACAGTGACGCTTCCGGGACTCATCATGTTCTCAGGGCACAGTCTATCGGGCAACACCCAAAAGAACTGTCCCAGGAAGCCCAGATCCCCGTCCCAGTAAGGAGGAGGAGGGAGAGGAGGCTGGTGGAACCGCTGATATTCCTGGAGGCGGGGGTCCTACCGCCACGTCATAGGCCTGTTCCTCTGGGGGGGGGCGGCCCCCCATCTCAGATGGAGCTCTTCCCTTCCAGCCCCCTGGCTCCCCTGGGGATGCAGGTGCAGTAACCCCGTTGTGAGGGGGGAGGGAGGGAGCCTGGCCTCCGGGGCTAGCAGGTGGAACACTGGTGGATAAGAGGAAAGTCAGGCTCAGGGGACCAGGGCTGGGAGCCGAGGTGCCTGCCCCCAGACCCCCACCTCTGGACACGGGCCCTGCTGCAACTCCTCAGCCAGCCGCTCTTCCGTCCAGGCCTCCGGCCCCACCCAGAACCCCTCCAGAACATTCTGAGCTGGGCTGCCCAGCCCCAGGGAAACTCCTCTGGCCCCACATCCTCAACACAAGTCCACACGTGGCTGGAGCGTCCACCCCGCCCCGAACCCCGGGTACACCCTCCCTCCGCGTGGGCACCTACAGGAGGCACCCTTGGGGCGGGCGGTCCCCGGAAGAGGCGTGACCGGAGCTCCTCGCCCCCCCAAGCGGCCCTCTCTCTTTGGCTTGGGCCTCCAGGGCTCTCGGGGCCGCTCGCTGGTCTTTGGGGCCCCAAGCGGGCCCAGCTTGGCTCGGGGGCTGAGAGAGGAAGTGGCCTTGTTGTGCTAGGACATCGTCTAGATTCTGAAACTCGCCTTTCCCACCCTGCTCCTCTTGGCAGGAGAGGGCTCAGCTGGAGAGGCGGCCCCCCCAGTGTCCCTGCTCGCATCAACCATCTCCGCCTCCCCAGAGCGAGGAATGTGGCTCCAGGACACTGTGGGGCTTGTTCCCAATCGCCTTCTAGCTCATTTCACTCAGGCTTTTATAGACTCGCCTTCATCCCACGGGCTGTTGTCTGGTTCTGGCCCTGGAGGCGCAGACAGAGGTCTCCCCTCCCCCCACCCCCATTCCTCACGCTTCATTTTGTCCCAACACCATCTGAGGAGGCTGCGCCACGGGGGGCTATGGACCCCTGGTGTGGGAGGTGGTGGGGGGCAGGGCCCCCCTTCCTCCCCGTCCCTC